CCGCCCGCGCCCCGCGTGCGGGGCCCGCCGGGGCCGTCGCTGCCGTCGACGCTCGAGGGGCCGCTGCTGCGGGAGACGAGCTGCAGCAAGAAGGGCGGATCCAGACTCGCCAGCCCCTAGGTTGTGTCGTCGTGCAGGGACCAAGAGGCGGCGGATGGTTGAGCGATGCTAAAGGGGTACAGTACTGCGGACGTCGAATGCTGTCTCTCTGTGCCCGCTTGGTTGGCAACCAGCAAACATCTGCAAATATGATAAGACAGCACCTGTCCTCCCAGAATCCTCATCCCTGCCCCTTTTCGTGGCACGCCCACCTCCAGGGGGACGCTGTCTGACCCGCTCCAAAACTGCAGCAGCAGCCGCTGCTCCCCCACACCAAGGTCCGCCACGGCGTCCCAGAACCAGCCCACCACGCGCGCCTCAGAGGGGCTCAGCACGCCCGGCGCGCCGGCCGCGCCCTCGCACTGAACGGCGGCGCGCCAGGCGGCGGCGTCGAGGCCGTTTGCGTCGCCGCACACCAGGCGCTGCCAATCGAATTTTTTATTGATGGCGTCAAGGGGTGGGGATGGGGCTTGAGTGGAGGTCGTAAGGTGTGTGTTGCAACATACGGCCGGTACAAAGGAATGACAGGGCAGGTTGGTACAGTGCGTTTTGATGAGATTCATTTGCTCCACACATCACCTTGTCCCCTACACGCGCATAAAACTCACACACACACACACACACACACACACACACACACACACACATCCAGAAACACAAGCACACACACGCACATACGCGCGCACACAGACATACTGTCACAAAATCATGCGCGCACTCACATTTGCGCACACATGCACAAACACTTACGTGCGCACGCGTGCATGTGTGCATGAATCCACGCATCAGCACACCCCTATGCGTCCGCGCTGCGCCCAAGAACGCCTCGCCCAAGAACCCACCTCCAGGTCCTCTGGCCCAATGCGGTGGCGGTCCAGGAGAGCCCTGGTTGGCACCAGAGGCGGAGGTGGTGGCGGTCCAGGGTTATGGCGAATTGCAAGGCCGCGAAATTACCTTCAACATGTACACCAGCGAAATCCCTGCTGCTGCTGCTGCTTTTGCATCGCATGAACATAGGGCCTCGCTGGAGGGTGGCGTCTGCAGGTGCGCGCGCATGCCAGCTGCTCGCGCACAGTTCAACGTCTGCAAGGAGTGTGCAGTTTCGGGCGCTGATGCAGCGCGCACGACCTCACCTGGGCACCAGCCCCCAGAAGCCCTCCGCCAGCGCTCCCATCTGCGTTGCCACGCCGTCCACCAGCAGGCAGCGCGCGCGGCGCAGCACGTACTCGCGCTTGGTGGCCTCTGTCACCTGTTGTGGGGCCGGCGGGATGTGTTTGAAAGAATGTGTGTGTGTGTGTGTGTGTGTGCGTGTGTGTGTGTGTGTGTCACGTGCGTGCGTGCGCTTTTGCTTGCGCATGCGCATCTGAGTGTCGGCCATTGGTCGAGCGCGAATTGCGCAGGAACAGACGCAAGCGGCTGCACAGGCCGCAGCACCGAGTAAGTGCCCGCCCCAAGAACGACATGCACCGCGCCGCCCCCGCCGCAACTCGCCCCCACCCTGCGCGCGCGCCCACCTTCAAGTAGGGCCCCGCCGGCACGAGCCGCACCA